GGACCGTAGGTCAGACCAATTACCAATATGCAAGTTCAAATTGAGGCCAAATAAAATGAAAACAAGTCTACAGGAACCAAGATATGATCTTGAATCAACTCCATCTGGATTTCAAGATCATTTTAGGAATAGGTTTGAGGCATTGAACACCAGTGATCAAAGACTGGAAGATAACAAGGGTATCATTCATGAGGAGCGCAAAAAGTCATTACAAAGACAGAGGAGAAAGAAAAACACTGAAAAAAAGATGTCAGAAGAGACTCTGGAAATGGCAGGAGAGCATCAAGGAGCCAAAACAAAGGGAAGGCATGCCGAAGAAAAAGGTGAACAGAAGATTTCAAAGAGCACCTTGAGAGGACAAAAGCAGTGTATTATAATGGAATGTGCAGAGAGCTGGAACTGGAGAATGAAAAGGGAAGGATTTGCTCTGCATTTCTCAAGCTGAGAGAACCGAGAAATTTAAACCTCTAGTTATAATATTGAAAGATGCTGGGAGCTCTGGTGGCCTAGTGGCAAAGAGCTGCAACTACAATCCCAGAGGCACACGGTTTGAATCCACCAGATGCTCTGCCGGGGAAGGAGGGACAATCTCCTCCTGTACCAGTCAGATCTGATTTGACAGTACACGCACACAAAAATAATAAAAAATAAATTAAAAAAAAAAAGATGCCATGGGCAATACATTGAATGACCCAGAAAACATCAAAAGAAGATGGAGGAAATACACAGAATCACTGTGCTGGAAAGAAATGACTAGCAGATTTCAGGAAGTACTGTATGAGCAGAGGTCAGTGGTAATGAAGAGGGAAGTGGAAGCTATATTGAGGACATTGACAAAAAATAAGGCCCCAGGAATCAGTGCGATATCAATTACTTGTTTAAATTAACAGTTGCAGCCCTATTGTTCTGACCAGTCTATGCCACAAAATTTGGAGGCCAGCTCTCTGTGTCCAGTGGGCTGGAAGAGATGCAGGTTTGCTCCCATTCCCAAGAAAGGTGATCCGACAGAATGTAGAAACTGTCAAACTATCAATAATATTACAAGCAAGGGAACTACTGCTGAAGACCTTTCTCTTAGTCTGGTCCTCATCTGAAAACCAAGCTCCAGTCTCGGCATGAGCTTCAACATCCAAAACCTAGCCATGGAGTCCATGCGGGATTCAGACAGGGCTAAACAGGACAACGTGAGCTGTGGGCTTTCCTGGGCTGATTGGTCGTGGGCCTGCCTGGTTGGTGTAACTCCGCAGCAGAGCACTAGCCCTCAATTCATACATGGCAGTCCTTTGACTAATGAAATCTTTGGAGATGATTGCCAGCCATTTTAAGCATGAATACAGTGAGGTATTCTTGGGAAGAATGGGAATCCCAGAACAATTAATTATGCTCATGCGAAACCTCTACGTGGACCAGGAAGCTGTGGTTAGGAAGGAAACAGCACAGTTCTGGATCAGGAAAGGTGTGCGTCAGGACGCATTCTGTCTCCATACTTTTCAATGTATATGCAGAACAGATCATTCAGGAGGCTGGACTCATTGTGGCGGCAAGATTGGAGGAAGACTCACCAACAGCCTGCATTATGCAGATGACACAACTTTATTTGCTGAAACTGAAGAGGATATGAGGTGTTTAGAAGGTCAGAGACTATACTTTTTGATCTGATTGAAGCTCAACATAAAGCAAACAAAGATTCTCACCACTTTATGATGGATGGAGAAGAAATTAAGGTAATTGATAACTTCAGGTTCCCTGGTTCTACAATCAGCACTCTTGGCACCGGCAGTCAGGAAATCAAAAGACATATTGCACAGGGAGAGTCTGCTGTCAGAGACCTCTGTAGAGTACTGAAGAGCAACGATGTCACTCTGGAGATTGCGGTGTGTCTGATCCAGGCCATCGTCTTCCCAATTAATTACTTATACATCCAAGAGACAGTAACTAAGGATGGTAGAAGGATCAATGCATTTGGGTTGTGGTGCTGGAGAAGAGTGTTGAACATACCATGGACTGTCAGGAGAACAAACAGATCTATCTTGGAGAGGGTGAAACCAGGCTGCTTCCCGGAGGCAAGAATTTTGAGGCTTTGTCTCGCATACTTTGGGCTCATGGCCAAGAGGGGCCAGTCCTTAGAGAGGGACATCATGTTTGGAAGGGTGGAGAGATAGTGCAGGTGGGGGAGACCCCAGATGGATTGATTTAGTGACTGGAGAATTGGAATTAGGTCTTTCGATGAGACTGGCTCAGGATAGGGTAGGTTTCAGAGCTAGTGTACATGGGGTTGCAGATGAATCGATGGCATCTAACAACAACCACAGCAGTGAGATCTACACTTTCATGAAGTCTCATACATTTTCCCCCAGAGGTGACATCTTGCATGACTAGTCAGCGTTACAACCCAGGAATGGACCGAGATGGCAAGAAAACCTTTTCCTTGGTCACATGTCCTTCTAGCCGCCACCTGGCCCCTGCCTCAAGCAACTCCTCTTCCATACTGTGTGAGTTTGGGGCCTCTCATCAGAGCCTTGTTTAAATGAGCAGTTGTTTGGAATCCACCCAGTTATTTTATTTTATTATTTTTTGTGCATGTACCGTCAAATTGGATCTGACTGATACGGGAGATTTTTCCTCCTGCAGCAGAGCATCTGGTGGATTCGAACTGCACACCTCTGGGATTGCAGTGCAGCTTCTTGCTACTAGGCCACCAGAACTCCCTAATTCCACCCAATTTTTTAACCCGTTGTGATTCCCTGGGAGCTTTTCAGTCTGGATTTGTTCGCTCTTGCCTCTTGAGTCGCTGTTTCTGGTGTGGGCTGGGGTCTGGTAGCATTCTGCCTTCTGTCCAGAAGGCTTCTCTTCCTGACTAGTGCTCTTTAAACGAACCAACCACTCCTTGTCTGTGGATGCGGACCTCTTGGAGCTTCAGAAGCCCGACAGGGCTACTCAGAGGTCTGTGGGTTTGGCCTGTGATGTTTCTGTGAGCAGCTCTGTGGTTTCCTTGTGTGTCTGAGTGTTGCAGGGAGCGGTGTGTGGAAAGCACCTCACGCCTGCCTCTCTCTCCACTTGCTCCATCCTTCCAGCAGTTCACGTCTCAGTCCTCCTGTGTCATTTTGAACGTGGATGAAGCAGTTCATCTGTTGGGTGTCACATTTTCATGGTGATTTTCCTTTTTTCCTGTTGGAATGTTCTGGTGGCTAGTTCTGAGGCCAAGTCTGCTAACAGCAAACCTTTTCTGTTTTCCTCTGCTTGGGAATGTGCTTTCCTTTTTCAAGTACAGCTTCAGAATTCTTTATCTTTTTACTTACCTTTTAAAAGTTCAATTTGGTGAGCTCTGGTGACCTAGTGGCAAGAAGCTGCCCTGTAATTCCAGAGGT